ACCTACGGAATGGGAGAAAATTTTTGCAAATGAAACCAACAAAAGCTTGATCTCCAGAATATATAAGCAGCTCATACGACATAATAAGAAAAAAACAAACAACCCAATCCAAAAATGGGCAGAAGACCTAAACAAACAATTCTCCAAGGAAGAAATACAAATGATCAATAGGCACATGAAAAAATGCTCAATATCACTAATTATCAGAGAAATGCAAATCGAAACTACAATGAGGTATCACCTCACACCAGTCAGAATGGCCATCATTCAAAAGTCCACAAATGACAAATTCTGGAGAGGCTGTGGAGAAAGGGGAACCCTCCTACATTGCTGGTGGGAATGCAGTTTGACACAGCCACTGTGGAAAACAGTATGGAGATTCCTCAAAAGACTAGTAATAGACTCACCATGTGACCCAGTAATCCCGCTCCTGGGCATATATCCAGAAGGAACCCTATTTCAGAAAGACACCTGCTCCCCAATGTTCATAGCAGCACTATTTACAATAGCCAAGACATGGAAACAGCCTAAATGTCTATCGACAGATAACTGGATAAAGAAGGTGTGGTATATTTATACAATGGAATACTATTCAGCCATAAAATGACAACATAACGCCATTTGCAGCAACATGAATGTTCCTGGAGAATGTTATTCTAAGTGAAGTAAGCCAGAAAGAGAAAGAAAAATACCATATGAGATCGCTCATATGTGGAATCTCAAAAAAATAGGACATAAATACAAAACAGAAGCAGACTCATAGACATAGAATACAAATTTGTGGTTGCCAAGAGGGAGAGGGGTGGGAAGGGATAGACTGGGAGTCCAAAATTTATATCTACTGACAGGCATATGTAAGTATAGATAAACAAGATTATACTGTATAGCACAGGGAAATATATACAAGATCTTGTGGTAGCTCACAGCAAAAAAAAATGTGACAATGAATGTATGTTCATGTATAACTGAAAAATTGTGCTCTACACTGGAATTTGACACAACATTGTGAAATGACTATAACTCAATAAAAATGTTGTGAAAAATATAGCTGTGTTTAATTCAATTATGTAAACTTATAAGATTCCATTTCACAAAGCTTTCTGTTTGGTTTACATGCAGACTTTGAGGTTTCTTTTGTTGTTGTTCTTTGTTTAATAATTTGTCTTCTACCGTGCTCCTCTCCACTTTTCACTAATGCTCTGGGGTTTATTTTATGCTGGCCAGCCTAGAGATTCTCGGAATTTACACAGGCCAGAAGCGCTACCATTTACAGGTTGCCCTTATGGTTTGGCAGAGGATATAATAAGCCCACAAGTGCTAGTCTAAGGAAGAAGCTGTTTAAGTATGTTGAAATGGTGTCACCAGGAGAATGGGGACATTGTGTAAGCTGTGTGCAGGACACTGTTTAATATGCGGGGCAGGGTGAGGAGACGGAGGAACCAGCAGGCTCTTACTTCTAGCTTCTTCCTGGAATTGGCTGGCAGTGGTCTGGCTGGCTGCTTGCACAAGTTTCCAGGACTCCATCATAAGTTTATTCTGAATGGACAGACTGTTTTGTCAAAACAATTAGGGCTTCCTTTGGTGTGCATCTAACTGGGAAAGAAAGCAGGAACCCCTCGGGGCCAGTATTCTAGGAATAGTGGACCCTGAATTAATGCATGGAAGAAAGGCTACAGAATAAGGATGGTGGTAGAGAGGATTCAAAGCAACTCGAAAAAACTGAGGCAAAACTGAAGCAACCCTCAGAGGCAGCAAACGGGAGCACTGTAATGCTCTCCTCCTGCTCACATGCCCCAATGGGGACAGAAAGTGTGGCTGGAGAGTCGGAGGTAGATGCCAAAGCCAGAAAGGCCAAGAGAAGGTGAGAGTTCGAGCAGCAGTACTTGATTTGGTGAAGAAATGAAGAATGTCGTTTGGGAACTGCATATGTACACAAGCAGGCCGGTGATCAGCAGAAATCAGCACCTCACATGTGCGAGTGCGCACACAGACAGGGAGAATGAGACAGAGAGAAGGAACGTCACCTTGTCCCTTAACAGCAGTCAGGACCCTCAGACATTAACTATATTTAGGTCTATCCCAAAGCCGGGGGTATAAGTGTGTCCTCTGTTGTGTCTGTTGTATGGCAGGGTCTCCTTGAATATAGCGTGTTCTTCTTTGGGAGTCATGGAAACTGGGCTCTTGTGTGCTAAATGATTTGCATGCCCAGGAGCACAAAATTCCTCACCCCACCTCCAACTTCTTCATCCACACGTTTTGAGAGCTCTACCTAACAATCCAGTTCTAACACACGCCTTTGACTAAGCATGAAGTTTGTGGTTACCGTCGATACTAGATTAAACCCCTATGGCCATTAGCCATTTTCTGAGTAGCCTGAAGAATCAAATATAAACAAGAGGAGGGGAATGAGGAGTAGGGGATAGGCTACCAGGGGTTGGGGGACAAGGACCTGAAGGGAAACTGCTCATACTGACAGATGAAGACAGTGCCTACAGACCCAAGAGGAGACACAGGAAGAGGAAGAGGAGGCTTCTGCTTTTTCCAAGATTTATATCTGCACAATTTCCTACCTAATCGGATGATTGGTAAGAAGTTGCCAAACCTTCTCAAGGACCCTAACAGCTGTTTGGAGATTGAATTAGGGATTCTCAGTGATGGACAGGACCATCACAAGAAAGATTTACATGCAGCTAATGATGGTAATATGTGATCCATTGCTAAGGGATATGCTGCTCTTTGTATATTAACCTTGTATCTTGCAATAATCTTTGCCATAATCACTTATTAGTTCCAGGAATTCTTTTGTTGGTTCTTCTGGATTTTCTACATAACTATCATGTCATCTATGAACAAATATAGTTTTATTTCTTCCTTTCCAAACTGTATACCTTTTATTTCCTTTTCTAGTTTGATTGCATTAGTTAGAATTTCCAGTACAATATTGAAAAGGATTGGTGAGAGGGGATATCTTTGTCTTGTACTTGACCTTAGTGGGAAAGCTTCAAGTCTCTCACATTAAGTATGATGCATTTTTGTTTTTAAATGTGCTCTGTTATGCTTTCTGCTTACAAAGATAGAAATACAGCTCATTAAACATTTTCAAATGTTGTAAGAAATATGTAATGTGAAAAAGGAAGTTTTTTTTTTTTTACAATCTCTGCCCACCTACCCGAAATTGCCATTGCCAGTTATTTGGTCTGTCTCTCAAGGTGACACACTGTGATTTTGAAGCGGTTTACGTCTTATCACACAATATCTCTGACCAAAAAAGACTGTGCCACAAACTGAGATTTCTTGACAGTTTGAGGTGCACATACCAAGCTGTGTGTATGCTGATATGTAAAATAGACAGAATAAATGTGATGAAATCACCCCTGTTCCTTTTCTGAGAACTGCTTTTAGTTCTTGATTTCTATCTTTTATAGGAAATTGTGTTATGAACTAAGTAGCCAGGTAATTTATTTAACATGAATATGTTAAAATTTAGTTCAGTCACAGAGTGCCCTAATCAGAATTATCACAGTGAATGAATGAATGAATGAATGAACTGATTACTAATCATGAGCCAGATATGTGCTCACCTGTTGGAGAGTTGTCAAGAACATGGTAGCCTAGGTATGGTTTCTACCCAGTGATCCCTGAAGTTCTTATGAGCACATGAAGGGAAGAGGCCACTTCTTAGATGCCTAGCAAGGGTATCCTGGAGTGTTGGCTTGAGAACTCCTTTTGTAAATGGTTTTTTGGGAACTGTCAGTTTTAACTTGGACGCCCTCATGGTCATGCAACCATGTGCCTTTGGGGATGCACCACCCACCAAGCAGAACCAGAGATTGGTGCTGGCTACTTGGGGATACATGTTGCTCAGAGAAGGTAGGTGTAGAGGCCTGAAGGTGACTATGAATGCATCCTGTGATACTGTGGCTGCTTCTGCACAGTTTCTGCTTCCAAACCCACACCTACACTTTTCCAGAACATTTAAGAGAACATGTCTTGGTTTATGAATTAGACTTGCAATTCTAAGAGTCCCTAACTGGCCATCTCCAAGGAGCTGTGGGAGTTCCTTACCCAGGTACATGTGTAAAAGGTCACAGCTGGATTTTCTAGAGCAAATAAGCTGCCCTTATTTACTGGCTATCTGTAATCAAGCTGCTAGGTAAAATTTAGCAATCATCACTAATGCCTCTGGCTAATTGTTTAGTTTTTGAGCATTAAGTATAATCTAATAAAAAATCTTTTATTAAAAAAATACACTTTTCAGGGGGGAGGGCATAGCTCAGTGGTAGAGTGTATCCTTAGCATGCATAAGGTCCTGGGTTCAATCCCCAGTACTTCCATTAAAACAAACAAACAAACAAACAGACTTAATTACCTGCTCCCCACCAAAAAGAAAAATCTAAAAAAAAAAATTCTTTTCTAGGTAAAGCTACAGAAACAATAAAAAGATTGTGGCTTCCAGGGGTTTGGGGAGAGGGAGGGAGGGAGGAATGAATAGATGGAGCACATAGGATTTTTAGGGCAATGAAATTATTCTGTATGTAGTGGTGGCTACATGTCATTATGCATTTGTCAAAACCCACAGAATGTACAACATCGAGTAAACCCTAATGTAAACTATGGACTTTGGTTGATAATAATGTGTCCATGTTGGTTCATTAATTGTACCAAATATGCCACACTGATGAGGGATGTTGAGGGAAGGGGAGTACATATGTGTGGGTGGGGAGGGCTATGTGAGAACTCTTAGTATTTTCTGCTCAATTCTGCTATAAACCTGAAACTGCTCTAAAAAATAAAGTCTACTAAAAAAAAAAAACCCTCCCCCCTCAAAAAAAGAAAAAATGAGCTGTAATCGTCCTACAAATGATAACCATAATTAACATTTTGGTATAATTTTTTGTAAAATCCCCATGCTTTAATAATCTTTCAATAAATAGATGTTATACAGTTATATGATAAAGTTTTCCTTTATCCTTTTACTTCAACTTAAGTGTAGCTATGATGTTTCTTTTTTTTTCTTTAGAGAAATGACTTATTATTTGTATTTTTCAAGAACATTTGGCCATGAATTATTTTTATCCAATCCTAATGGCAACTTTAAGGGTTTTAGATATCTGTGTCCTTCTGGATAAAGACACATAGAGCTATGGTGTTTACTTATGAAAGTATGAAAATATATTCTGTTAACTACAGATTGAGAAGCAGACAATAAATGAGTTTGTTCTGTTTATTTAAATGCACATTTTGTCAAATGGCTTTCTTTTTTACTTACATTTTTTGAAGAAGTTTTGTTTAAAAGAAAGGTTTATATTGATCCACAGAGCAAAGTCCTTGGACCTTGATTAGCATTGCTTTAGTTTGATCCTAAAATGGGCTATAACATTTCTATCTTCTTCAAACTGTGATGCTTCTGTATTTCCTCCATGAGTGTTTGTAAGTATTTTTTCTTCAGAGACATCTTCAAATAAAGAGTCATGTTGCTTATATTGGAGTCATGTGGGTGACTGAGTAAACAGCCAGCCTGGGCACACCACTGCAGAATATTTAATATTCATGGTATATTTAGTGAAAAAAATAAGCTATGGAATAATATTGATAATACAAACCCACTTTTATGAAAATGAAAGTTAGATAAATATAGTTACATAGAAAAAATATGGGAATGCTATAATCCAAAATATCAACAGTGGTTATTTCTAGATGGTAAAGTTATAGGTGATTATGATGACTTCATTCATGTTTAAAGTTAAAATTTTTTCATAAATATGCATATATTACATTTTTCATTTTTTAATAATCAAAGTGTTATTTTATGGTAAGATCATAGTCTTTATTGATGAAAACCAAAATGATACTTCAATAAAGAAAATTGTATTTATTTCCATTATCCTCTTTCTCCCATTATCTCTCCTCTAAAACATTCATCAAACTAAGTGCTATGTGGTTTCCTCTCAACTCTTGAAAGGAGGTTTTGAGAAGCAGAAATTATGTCAAGAGGAATTGAGTGGGATGAGGAATAAAAAGACAGCATGTCATATGTATGACAGTCTATTTAATTCAGCTCTGTATTACCTAGGTACATATGGAGTCAGCTATTTTGTATTTCTAAGATTATATCTAGTAACCTGGAAGGCCAGCCTGAAGCTCCTTAATGTGTGTGTTTTGGGGGAGTGTGGTGTTTTTGAGTCCATATTCCATTACCTTCCTCTTATATCTAATCAAAATCTAAGTGACCAGTGTAAATGGGGGGAAGGGGCGGGCAGTAGCTAACTGATCTGTATTTCAGTTTCAGAAAAATGGTCTTCCTTTTCTTTTTCTTAGACAGTAGGCTAGAGTGATTTAAGTTTGCTAAAGCTAAAAATGAAAATTTCTGGAGCATTGGAAAAGTGATGTTGCTTTGATAGATGCCATTCTCACAAGCATAACTTTGTGTCACATACCTATTTTTAATTTTTTTTTAAGTTCAGTGTTCTAACATTTAAAGGTCATCAAAAACAGATGGATTTGTTGGTTGTTTTTTTTTTTTACAGATCTGTTAAAATAATATTAGGACTACTATTAGTATGGTCTTAAATTTTAGATCAATTCTGAATTCTTGATAAATTATAAAACATTCATAGTAGTGTGGCTATGCATGTCTGCTGAACTTTGGATCATGATATATACTTTTACTTAGGGAAGCTTTTTGGATTTTTCTTTAGTGAAATATTAAATCAAATGTGGAACTCTGATTAACTGACTCAGATAAAAGGAATGACTTGTACTTGGATGACAAAAATGGATCCTGACCTTGAGGGTTTCAGTCTGCAGCTCAGAGAGTGGGCAGATTCTGGAAATGGCACTGGTGCTGATTGGTAAAGTCATGTTTCTCACAATTTCCTCAGCTGTTTGTTGAATCATTAAGAACTGCTAAATTGTCTCTGTCAGAGGCCAACCTAGGAAAAGCATCTTTGCCAAATCCAAATCCAGAGCGGAATGTGGAGGCTGACAGTGAATATAACAGCCAAGTCACTCTCGAAACTTCTGGCTCTATCATCTTTCCAAAATCAACATACTTAAACAAAAACAAAAACAAATCCACCTCTCCCACCCCTACTTCCCACCTTGCTCTCCACCAATAGGAGGTCTCGGAGAAATGGAAGGATTAGGCATTTTCACAAAGAAGAAGCCAGGCCCAAAGGACCATTTGCCAAGGGTAACTGGCCCATACCTTGGGCCTTCAACAAAACTGCTGAAGAAGCCATCCCAGGAGAAGGCACTTGGCTGAAGATATGTGCCCAAGCCATTGTCGTGCATGCAGACACACATAGAGATCGACTGGGTTAGATAATCAGTAGTGTCTGTTCCTGCTCTAGGGTAGTCATCTAGTCTTTGTGGCCCAAATTAAAATGACCTGACTATGATTCTGAATTCCTGAGAAAGAGAAAAAAAGAAATAAACATGTTATCCACAGGCCTGATGCCCTTTGGGAACTGATCGAGCCTGGGGACGGACACAGAGGCAGCGTATGGAGACTGCAAGTGCAGGTGTGTCTGTTTGGGGCGGACTTTCGTAACTTCACGTACCTCCTTCCCTGCTGAACAACTCCTTCCTGATCCCCTAAGGAAATGCCCCTCACTTTTTGTTTTTGTTTTACTTTCTTTCCTACTCCCTCATTCCCTCTTGCTCTTTAACTTTCATTTAACAAGATTTTACTCGTGTTCTATAGACATTTATCCTTCAAAGACAGCATGATATAGCTGAAATGTTGTAGACAGGATCTTTGACTCAACTGTATAGCTTACAGAGTAAACTTGGACAGGTGACTTGGAGTCAGAGCACAGAATAGGAATAGCATGTCTTTGCTACTTTTACATGAGAACATATTTTGTAAATTGTTTTTAAAAAAAAGATTTTTATTAACTTATAAATTGTCCTGGGAGAGGGCAGTTAATAAACTAGTCTTTGGCATTTGGTTTTGAGTTCATTTATAACATGGATTTGACTTTTTAGTTGAGAGCACAGACTTGTTAGGATGAGAGTGTACTGGGAGACTCCAAGCACACAAGGAACATGCGTGCACCCAGGGAAAGGAGGATTCCCTAAGGAGGAGAAAAGGGGCTGAAAGAGTAGGTGAGGGCCCAGAAAATACTTTGTCTGCTTTCTTTCCCCTGTGGTCAAGCCCGGATTGTTTGTGACCAGGATATGCAGTGGACCGTGGCCTCCAGGTGGAGCTGCTCACGTTACCAAGGACAAAGGCCACTCATCCTGCAAAGCAAACTGTCATGCTCTAGCAACCCCAAATCGTGTATGTTCTTGGGGTTATTGGGCCTTGACATTGGGAACTGGCTCTCTTTCTAGCTTTGGGGCTGGCCAGTAAGCTTGAGTTAGCGTTTAAATTAATAAATATATGTTATAAAGGGCAATTCTTTATGCCAGAATGATTTGATGAACAGGCTTATTGTTGAATTGTATTTTTGTATACATTGTGGAGAGGCCATGGAGTCAGACACCTCACGTTCTGGTTTCAACTCTGCCATCTGTGGTGCCTTAGGCAAATCATTCAGCTGCTTTGTCCCCTCAGAAGAGTCCAGTTTGAATGTAGCTCTCTTAAAGTGTAGTTCTTATGTTGTCTGTATCAGAATGACCTGGGCTACTTTTTAAACATTTCTGGAGGGTTTCCTAAACGAGGTTAATCAGAATCTCTGGGGATGAAATGGAATCCCCTTAAAACTGAGTTCCTCTCTCGAGTTTATGATGAACCTCTTTATCCAAAACTGTACTCCCTTTCTTGTCCCACCTCTGTTCCCCTCAGGATTGAGAAGCATCAAAGGAAAGGGAAGACTGAAACCAAGCAGGATCCTGCAGGGCCCTCCTGGGTACGAAAGCCCCACTGTGTCCCCTAATTAATTAAAAAGGATTTTTTTATTGAAGTACCATCAGTTTCAATGTGTCAATTTCTGGTGTACAGCACAATGTCCCAGTCATGTATATACATGCATATATTTGTTTTCATATTTATTTTTCATTAAATGTTATTATAAGGTATTGAACATAGTTCCTTGTGCTATACAGAAGAAACTTTTAAAATCTATTTTTATATATAGTGGCTAACATTTATAAATCTGAAACTCCCAAATTTAACCCATCCCAGTCCCTTTCCCCAGTAACTATAAGATTGTTTACTAGGTCTGAATCTGTTTCTGTTTTGTGGATGAGTTCATTAGTGTCCTCTTTTTTCCATTTTTTTAAATTCTGCATATAAGTGATATATGGTATTTTTCTTTCTGGCTTACTTCACTTAGAATGATGATCTCTAGATCCATCCATGTTGCTGCAAATGGGATTATTTTATTATTTTTATGGCTGAGTAGTATTCCATCGTATAAATATACCGCAACTCCATTATCCAGTCATCTGTTGATGGACATTTAGGTTGTTTCCATGTGTTGGCTATTGTATACAGTGCTGCTGTGAACACTAGGGTGCATGAATCTTTTCAAATTTGAGTTCCCTCTGGATATATACCCAAAAGTGGGATTGCTGGATCATATGGTAAGTCTATTTTTAGTTTTTTGAGGACTCTCCATACTGTTTTCCATAATGGCTGCACCAAACTACATTCCTACCAACAGTGTAGGAGGGTTCCCTTTTCTCCATGCCCTCTCCAGCGTTTGTTGTTTGTGGACTTTTACATGATGGCCATTCTGATTGGTGTGAGGTGATACCTCATTGTAGTTTTGATTTGCATTTCTCTGATAATTAGTGATACTTTTTTTTTCATGTGCCTATTGGCTATTTGTGTTTTCATTGGAGAACTGCTTGTTTAGGTCTTATGCCTATTTTTAGATTGGGTTGTTTGTTTTTGTTATTAAGTTGTATGAGCTGTTTATATACTCTGGAAATTAAGCCCTCATCAGTCTTATCATTTGCAAATATTTTCTCCCATTCCGTAGGCTGTCGTTTTGTTTTGCTGATGGTTTCCTTTGCTGTGTAAAAACTTATAAGTTGAATTAAGTCCCATTTGTTTATTTTTGCTCTTATTTCTATTGCCTGGTAGACTGCCCTACGAGAACATTGCTAAGATTTATGTTAGAGAATGTTTTGCCTATGTTTTCTTCTGGGATATTTATCGTTATCTTGTCTTATATTAAATCTTTAAGCCATTTTGCATTTATTTTTGTGTATGGAGTAAGGGAGTGCTCTAACTTCATTGATTTACATGCTGCTGTCCAGTTTTCCCAACACTACTTGCTTAAGAGACTGTCTTTTCTCCACTGTATATTCTTGCCTCCTTTGTTGAAGATTAATTCACCATAGGTCTGTGGGTTTCTTTCCCAATTCTTATTTGTAGAAAAGACTTTAGTCTCCTAGGCCTTCCCTGAGTTTCAAAGAGTAGGCAAAGCAGTAAATAATTAAGGAAGTGAGAGAATGCAAAAACAAAGAAAAAGCAGCTAAGCAAGAAAAGTAATGACAATAGTTCAGCAATAAAACAGAGTCCTAGTTGCCCGTGAAGGGATATAACTAACCAGAAATTTGACGATTAAGATTCCTGAGACATTACCCTGTTACTTCACCACCAACCATTAAGAAGACAGTCCATGAGCTGCGACCCTCACGTCAAATGTTGCCTTTTAAACACCCCCCTCCCGAAAGCCATAGGGGAATTTCGGCCTTTTGAGCATTAGCTACCTGTTTGCCTTGCCTGTTACCTTTTAATAAATGCTGTACTTTCCTTTCACACAGCCTGGTGTCAGTAGCTTGGCTTCACTGCACGGCAGGCAAGCCCAAGTTTGGTTTGGTAACAGGAATGAGACCCCAGAATCTGTATTTTTAATAAGTGCCCCAGGCCACTGTCATGCACACAGAGACCTACTGGATAGGACCATAGACAGGATCTCTTCCTGTTGTCCAACCCAAGTTCATATGCCCAATGGACAGTGAGGCCAAACAAACCAAAATGTCAGAGTTTGGAACAGAAAAAGTTTTGCTGCAGGGTACCAAGCAAGGAGAAGGGGCAGCTCACACTAAAAGACCCCAACTCCCTAATGGTTTTGGGGGAAGAGATTTTAAAGGCAACATTTAGGGGCGAGGGCTGTACGTTGTGTGACTTTCTGATGGGTTGGTGGTAAGGTAACAGGGTCATGTCTCAGGAATCTCAAACTTTTGGTTCCAACCAGTCTGGGGTGGAGTGCTTGTGGTCAGCATGTAGTCGCCATCCTCCACTGGGTTAGGGGTCTCAGTGTCTGCAGATACTAGCTCAAAGATATGCATCGGATTGTTATCTATATCCCTGCAGGAGGACTGGGCGTTCTGTGACTCTGTTGTCTTTATTAACTGCTTAAGTCTGCTCTTTGGAACTCAGGGATGGGCTAGGCTGAAGCTTTTCCTACAAGCAAGAAACAGGGGACACAGAAAGGCCTTTGGACCAGGGAGTGAAACAGAGCAGCACCCTGTGGGGTGCTTCTCTTCATTCAGCCTCCTTGACCTTCCCGGAGTTCCACAGGGCAGATTCAAACAGTTGCTGTTCAGGGAAGGGAGGGAATGCAGAGACAAGGGAGGAACAGTCAAGAAACAGTAGCACACCCTTGGCTCACGGTCCTGGTTTCTCCTCAAGGAATATATAGAACATTTTTGAGTTCTTCTTCAGGGACTAAGGCCCGCCACCCAGGTGGAGCATGGCAACTTCAGGCTGAGCACAAGATTCCTAGAACACCACCATGTTACCTCAGCACCAACCAGTCAGAAGAAAGTCACACACCCTGATGTCCTCACCCCAAATTTTGCCTATAAAAACCCCCCCAAAACCACCAGGGATTTTGGGTTTGTTGAGCACGAGCTGCCTGTCCTCCTTTCCTGGCCCTGCAACAAACCTTTCTCTGCTCCCAACACCGACATTTAGGTTTGTTTGGCCTCACGGTGTGATGGGCACACAAACTTTTATTCGGTAACAGGAGAGCCCCACAGGATCCTGCTTGGTTTTATTCCTGCTCTAAAATTCTGTTAATTCTCATGACCTGAATTTTGGTTAGCTTTTTTTTTTTTTTCTGTGAGCAAAGCAAAATTAAAAGGAGAAAGGAAATGACATTGGCTAAGAACCTACTATTTGCCTGGCTCTGTGTTTGGCACCTTATACACACATTACCTTATTTTTCTACACAATAACCCTTTAAGGTAGGTGTTATTATTATCACCAAAGTATGAATAGATTCACAGTTGGGATATGTACAAACTTCTAGTTACAGGATGAATAAGCTCTATACGTAATGTACAGCATGGTGACTACAGATAACTATACTGTATTGTGTACTTGAAAGTTGCTTAGAGGGAAGTGTCAGGAAGGAAGAAATTTTCCTTTTCCCCTCTAGGTTCTTCTGGCTGGTTGGAGAATTGAACTGACATGAGACAGATTAACAGGGGAAAATCAAACAAAAGTTTAATAATAGGTATACAAGGGAGAGGCCCAGAAAAACTGAGTAACTCCTCAGAATGGCTGAAACTTTCATCTTAACCATCATTTTCAGCTAAAGACAAAAGAGGATGTTGGGGTAGTGGTTTGGGACCTCGAAAGAGAGGAAGGCAATTCACATGGAGATGGAAAAATAAATGTTTGGTAAATACATGTTTGCTGGGCCATGCATGGACGATGTGACACAATTTCCCCCACCGCACCTAGTCCATATTCTTTGCAGATATCTCTGGTGATAGCTATACTATTCCAGGAACAGGCCCTTACCTAAATTCTTTAGGCAGCTATGTGAGAGGTAAAAAGAAAGAATTTCTTAGTCTTCTGTTTCTTAAAAATAATCAGCCTAAATTAATCTTCATGCCAAAGAGACACATTTTGGGGTGGCAAGTTTTGCTCCCCTACAGTAATTTAAAAAGTTCTCATCACAAAAACATACAAAAATTGTAAATATGTGAGGTGATGGATGTATCAACTAACTTTATTTTGGTAATTATTTTTCAATATATACATATATAAAATCACTACACTGTATACCTCAAACTTACACAATGTTATATGACTACTATATCTCAATAAAGCTGGAAACAAAAAGGTTGGGATTCTGACCTAAAAATCAATATTCACCCCCCCCCCCACAGTATGATGCTATCCTAAGAAACTACAAAAGAGCACCTTATCTGTATACAATAGATCACTGTTTCAGGAACTGTTTCTTCATCCTTGCGGAATCACTGAGTTTCCCCTAATGTGAACATTAATTACCTGATATAATGATGATAATATAAAAACTATATGTGCCATCTTAATTTCTCTTTGCTTTACTTATTTATTTACCTATTTTAAATGTATTCTTTTTGTATTTTATGCATCTTCTAAGGCAATTTAAGTCCTTTGTGTATGGTGGGGAATACATTGGATATAAATAACAGAAAGAAAGCTATATTCTGTATTCACTTAATAATTGCATTTGCTTAAAGAGAATTAAAAACGCATGAAATTGTGACATCCCAGGATAATTTCAGTTTATAAAATCTCAAACCTATAACTAGGTACCAGATGGAGGGGAAGACAAATAGAATCAGATCAGAAATTGATTTTCAATTTGATGAAATCTATCTTCTGATTGCTTTTACTGGAGTTACGAATTTCAGACAGAGAAGGGCAGGGGCCCTGGAAGGCTAAAAGATGTGAAGTTCAGTTGGGCAGAAGGAGATTGGTTCTCTTGGAAACCAAGTCAAGAGGAAGCCCATGTGAAAGAGGAATTGCCTTTTCCCTTCAAGGTATTTGGAGGGGTGTGAAAAAAGAATGGCAGAGGATCAAGTTCAGGGGTGAGTGGAGAGGCAGATTACTCGCGTCACCCAAGAAATTCTTCCTGCTGGTGACCAGTTTGAATGGAATTTTAACTGTTCAAAACAAAAATCATCTGGCTTCATGATTCATTACTTGTGACCCATTATCTTTGTCTCTGGTCCATGAGAAAGGTAGTTTTATCTACTTTCCAGCTCAGGTGAAAAGAAGAAATGAACAGAGTGATACTTCCCCTGTGTTTGGATAAGGCTGTCTTGTGACGAGGGAATAGGAAAAGGCACCTGTGTGGGTTGAGATATGTTTATAGAAATGACACTGTAAAGTTATAAACAATGTGAGGTATTGTTATTTTTTGGACGAAGATAATATAGCTGGAAGGAGCCCTAGATACCATCTGACTCCATCTTACAGGCATTCAGGCCTATGTGGGCCAAGCGTATTTACTAAGAGCACACACCAAGCACTGCTAAACAGTGTAGATTCCAGAGTCAGGCATACCTGGTCTGAGGCCCAGTTCTGCCACCGACTGCTTGGTAATGTTGAGGCTGAAGAGGGCCTCACAGAAGTGAAGAGCTGAGTCATGCAGAAAGAGTAGAGCTTGCCAGACCGACAGGTACTCCAGGCAGGGGAAACAAGGGTTTGTCCAGAGAGAAGGGATGAAAGGGGGAGCACGCTGCCTAGAGGTGAATGCAGGATATGGTGCTTAGTGAGGACGGAAGAAGAAAAACAGTGAGCGGTGGGGAAGGTGGCAGTTGCCCTACCTCTGCAAGAGGAAACTTCAAGCCAGGTTTTTTTTCCTAGCTATTTTATTATTACTTTGTATCAATAATACACCCAGGTTGAGTTGCTCCAAACTCCACGAAATGTGTCCTTGTCAACAGGGCCTCCCATGCTTTGTAGTCCAGGAAGGAAGGTTAGACAGGAGCCGGGATATTACTGGTTCCCTGCATCCCCTTCAGCTTCCCCTGTGAGCAAGGCTCTCCTGGGCAAGAAGGCTCTGGTGTGGTTAGAAAACATTAATAACAGCTCCCATTTATACGTACTTGGCATTATTCTGTTCAATGTATTGATTCATTTAATCCTCACAGAATCCTTAGAGTAAGCACCACTTATTTTTTCCTTTTCTCAACTTTTCAAAACTTCCAAAAATAGAAGTATAGCATACTTATAAAAATGTAAGTGTCCAGTTTAATGAATTTCCACAAAAAGAGCAGACACATGTAACTAGCACCTAGAACAAGAAAAAGAAGGTTATCAGCACACAATAGGTCCCTGATGGCCCCATCCGGTCACTAGCCCTCCCCACCTTGCAAAGCAACTCTCATTCTTATTTTTTTTTTAAAGAGAGTTTGTTTGTTTTTAGTGGAGGTACTCATGCAGGAAAAAAATAGACGTGGGGCGTGAGGAGGGCCGTGTCCCAGGTCTCAGTTGAGCCCCTGGGACGTGCCCCACCAAATGTAGGTCCTTGGATTTGAGCAGGAAAAAGTTCAAGTGCGAGCCACAGTTGAGTAAAGGTAGATTTATTTAGAGAGATACATACTGCATAGAGTGTAAGGCAAGAGAAAGGCAAGGAAAGAGGTGTGGGAATTGGGTGCTCAGGTTAGAGTAACGTAGGTACGCACTCCATACAGTAGGGCCCTCTCCGAAGAGGGAGCGGAAAAGGGCTGCCAGGTGTGGTGGTGCCAGTTTTTATGGGCTCAGTAGCTTCACACGCCTACAGGTGGGACCATTCCAACTGCCTTGGGGAAGGAGCTGGGATTCCCAGGAATTTGGCCACTGCCCACTCTTTGGCCTTCTGTGGTTAGCCTTGGGACTGTTGTGACACTTGCGGTCATGTTATTGATCACACTAATATGTTAACAATGAGCATATAATGAAGCTCAAAGGCTACTAGAAGTCAAACCTCCCACCAACTTAATCCTTAAGGTCAACTGGGAGTTGAATCTTCCACCATTTCAGTGTAAAATTGCTGTCATTCCTTGGATGGCTCTGCCCTGTCCCCTTCCCTCCTGTCTCAGTACTGGGGATTGAACCCAGGACTCGTGCATGCTAAGTACGCACTCTGCCCCTGAGCTATACCCACCCCCACATCCTTCCTTCTGACAGCACAGCTTAGTTTGCTTGTTTTGTACAGTATTATCTGTAGGCAGCTTCTTTCACTTACATTGCATGTAGCTACAGGTCTGTTTATTCTCGTTGTATGATATCCTCAGCCTTTCATTTTGAAACATTGAAAGCTCCAGCAAAGTTGAAAAACTAGTACATCCAATAGACACCCATATACCCTTTACCTAGAACACGAAGGACTATTATTATTTCCACTTCATACATGAGGAAACTAGGTCAAAATGGAATTAGGCAGCTAGCTCAGGTTATGACCCTGGGATCTAGTCTCACCTAGCTTGCTGCCTAGTCAGTCACAAATGTGGGCAAATAACATAACATCTCTGACTGATTCTCATTATTAAGATGAGAGTAATAGTCCCCATTCGAGTTTCCAGATTGTTGTGAGGCTCAAATAATGAGGAACATGTGAAAGTGCTTTGTGAAGAGTAAAAAGGTGTTACTAAAAAAAATACTGTTAAAATGTAGGTGCGTGGGCCTCACTCCCTGTAGCTCCTGATTCAGTATGTCTGGGGTAGGAGGCGGAATGTTTCACAAGCACCCGAGGTGATGCTGAAGCACTAGTCCCCAGACCAACCATGAAAAAACACTTCTGTAAAACAAAGGTTCTCAAACTTTAGAGACTATCAGAATCAACTGGGGGACTTGATTGTTCTTGTCACTAGCTCCATGTTCTCCCAGACTCGAGAAGATGAAAGAAAGGAGCAGGTAAAGAATCCAGAGAGCTTTATGCTCTGGGGGCATGGAGAGCCTAGCCCCCAACATTAGCCTCTGGAGCCCTTGCCTTCTGAGGCACAGAGAAGCAGAGGGAAGCTTGCTTATCCTTAAAGAGGGCAAGTGACTCACAGATTTAAAATAAACAAAAAGAAGGAGGCATTCGTAGGTGAAAGGACAAGAGCCTTCTGTTGCAAAATATAAGGTCAGATTAGTGAGAAGTTAAAAAAAAACCAAAAAACCCCAACAACAACAACCATCAGGACTCAAAATCCAGTACAGCCGTTTTACTTCAGGGTGAGGATAGATTAGTAATAGGCACACCAAACCTCAGCTTAGAGCACCAACAAAGATGGACAGCAAAAAGAAGAGAAAAAAGTAGTACTTTGATTGCTTAAAGCACTGAAGATGTAAACACAGGAAAAAAACAAAACAAAACAGAGAATTTTGGACTTCCTAACAGTGATCTTATGATAGTACTGTATTTTATTTTGAATTACCTGGTGTATGTAGCGGGCAGATACTTTATTTTATTCTTGCTGGGGGTGTCCAGATGTCTTCATTCATGTATAAGGGATACATTTTTAATGGGTCAGTTTGGAGCTTTAAATATGATAAACAGTATATATGTGCATGTAACATTAGTTAAGTAATTGAGGTGAATGCCTTTGAGGGTTTCCCACAGTGCAAACTTGGTAACTTGACAAAGCCTGCCCCTGGGCTCCAGCGTCCTCGCCGCCTTCGCTTGCTCCCAGTTCTGGAGGCCAAGGACCTGGCACCAGCTCCCCCTCGCACCTCCCACCTATCCTTTATTGTTTACCTTCTCGGAGAGAGGGCTGGGGAGGCCGAGGCCCGCTGCGATGTCAACAGATCCCAGGCCACTCACCCGAGAGGTCTGCAGAATCCCTACCCAGCTCGGGTGGTTGCACAGCTTGTTCGCTCATATAATCTGGTGCAAATCCCTGCATTTTACACAAGAAAAAACTAGGACTCAGATGTTGATAATTTGTTTCTTCAAAAAAGAAAAAAAAAAGGCCAGTTTGCTAAGTAAAAATAAGTAGCTAACGAAAATGATCTGTCAAGCCATGAAAGACATGGAAGAAACTTAAAAGACATATTACTAAATGAAAGAAGCCAGTCTGAGAAGGCTACAAAATGTACCATTCCAACCAAATGACATTCTGGTAAAGGCATAGCTTACAGAAACAATAAAAAGATCGCGGTTTCCAGGTGTTGAAGGAGAGGGAGGGAGGGAGGAATGAATAGATGGAGCACATAGGATTTTTAGGGCAATGAAATTATTCTGTATGTAGTGGTGGCTACATGTCATTATGCATTTGTCAAAACCCACAGAATGTACAACATCGAGTAAACCCTAATGTAAACTATAGACTGGTTGATAATAATGTGCCCATGTTGGTTCATCAGTTGTACGAAGTATGTCACACTGATGAGGGATGTTGAGGATAGGGGAGTATGTATGTGTGGGTGGAGAGGGCTATGTGCGAATTTAATTTTCTGCTCAATTCTTCCGTGAACCTGAAACTGCTCTAAAAGAATAAAGTCTATTCAAAACAAAAGTAGCTACCATCTGGGAGTGATTTGTGTTTAAGTCTCCCTAAGGAAAAAAAAAAAAAGACCAACCAACGGTATTCTCAGGCCCTTTTCAGAAACTCCGATTCCACTTTAAATTCCACGTATGTTTGAGGAACTGACTTTACAGTCAAAAGAGTAGCAAAACAAATCTCTACAGGGCTGTCATCCCTTAGAATTTCACAAAACTTTTATCAGTTATTTGTTTGCTATAAATAACAGTCGGAGCGTCACTGTTTCCGTTTTTAAAGAGTTCTATTCCGAGGGCTGAGAGAAATCAACAGGTTAGTTACTGTTCATTTGTCCGCGCGACTCCTCCACCGCCTTTTGCAAGAGCACAGAGCCGGCGTGGGCGGCGGCCGCATTTTCCCCGGGGGTCCCCTCAGTACCCCCCACCCAGACAGCGCCCCCAGCCCACGCAGACAGGGGCCTCCACACCTGGACGCTGCGAGGCGAGGAGGCGGGGACCCGGGCCTCGGGGTGT